AGTGGATTTCAAGCTATTTAGTTCTTTAATAGTTTTTTATTGTTAATATGTGTGTTCCATGCTTGAATATGTAGTTATTTGGAGCCCAAACATAGTAAGGAAAAGCTACTAACTAGAATGAATCATCAAAGTTTCTGAAGTGTATATTTTTAAGAGTTTAGACCACCAATTATTTGGCCACTACATGAATGCAATTTTATACTTTGTCCACATTGGCTGATAGAAAAGCTCAAGCTAATTTACCATTTTTCCTAAAATCATTGATGGTTACATTGACAGTACTCACTCATCCTTTTCAGTAAAATTTATTTTAGAATCAAAGTTTTTAAATCCTGTAATGTTTCTCTTTCAGTTTCATATTCCTTTTTTTACTATGAATTATTTATTATACTCTACAAATAATGAGAATAACAAACGAAGATCTATCATTCCTAATAGGAGACTAAATCAATTACTTTGTAGGTGTATAATGTAAGTTTTGTACCTATTATTATTTTTAATATCATACTTAATATAGAGATTTTATGTTAATTAGTTTTATAATTATTATCCAATATTTTGAAAATCTTTTATTTCATACCATTTAAGTAGTTACTAAACAATATGTGGTGTTAATTTGGTAGCACTCTACATACAAATTTCTGATTCGGTATGCACTCTACATTTAAATTTCTGAGTCGGTATGTGCTCAACATATGTAATTTTGATTGTGTTTCATTTTACTAGTTATTCACGTACTAAATGTATTCTAACATGGTGAGAAAAGGTCCTGCCTGTCTTGACGGTAAAGTCGACACTCGACAGCAATAGTGATCAAGATGGGACTGCTAATGATTTAAAGGAACATACTCTTCATTTACTTCAATAATTTAATTTTTACGTCCAACCATGACCTCTCAATGTTTTGAGTGTGGGTTCCTGTATTTGCATCAACAAATGACATTTGGTGATTTACTGTCTTGTGTATAAACCTTGGTTTGTGAGACACCTATATTCACACCCTTCGCAACAGCTGTGTTCACTTCTCACCACATGTTAAACCAGTCGGTGACACACTTATTGCTTCTTCCAGTCAGATCCATTACTATTTGTGCGGGCGATTCCAACACAAACATAAACACAAGTTCAACAATTTAACAAGGTGTTAATTCACTGTTACAATGTTGGTTCAAGTCAGTAAAATGAAAAAAAGCTGCTACCAGCTCGTGGCGATCTTGTCGCCTGACAGCCTCTCTTTGGACACCAAAAAATGGCCATCCACTCCCTATTATGGCATTTCTGTTGTCTTACATACATTTCTGTGCCAAATTTATGACAAGCGGCTTGTCTTCGGCACTTTTTAACAATCTTTTTTCTACTAAAAACCGATGACACACAATCTTATTTGGTACTACTATAGTATAAAACTCACGAAATATCAACACAGCCATCACAATTAATAAATAATACACAAAAAATAAGAATATTAGGAAAATAAGCTATAGCTATATAACTGAAAACACAACTGTAATCAAATTTAAGGTAAAGATAATTAGAGATGATTAAAGATAAGATAAAGTTATAAGAAATACTCAACATATAAAAACGAGGCAATATGTTATATAATAATACTCGAATATCTCCGTACCAAACGTAGACAGAGTGTAGAACGGCAATAGCTGTAGAGCGCATACCGAATTAGCACCCAATATTTTTTAAGTTTCTTATTTTTTTGAATGACAACATACAATTTTAAGTCTTATTCTAACAAAGAATATTTGTATACAATGAAATATTCTGAATAATATTTTGCTTTGGAATATGAAATTAAAAATGTTCTCATACACAACAGTAACAAACTTAAACATGATTAAGATAAAAAAATTAAAATTAGTTTGTTAAGACTTAAAAATGAATGAAAAAATTGAAGTTTTTGAAATATTGAGTGTTCTTTGACAAAATAATCAGTGTATGTTGAGTAAATGTAGAAGAGTTGAAAGAAACATATTAGAGTGAAAATAAAGATTATTTTATTGTCTTCTTAGGACTATAATAGACTGTACCATAATGAGTTGGTTAAAATATTTCAGTTTTACAATATCAACTAACAAATAAAAGTAAGATGTTATATGCCGGCTGATTATTTTATCATTGAACACTCATTATTTCAAGAAGTGTATTTGGAAAAAATGTTTTACATGATTTCTAATTGTTGAGAAACAAAATTTAAAAAAAACATACCTTTAATATTTTTTATCATTAAAATTTTTTTATTTTTTGGATTGACAGTTTTAATTTTCTATTTCAAAACAAAATATTTTTGTAAGTATTTCAATTCATAAAAATTGAATTTAGGACGAGTAGTATATAAGTTATCAGTGTTTAAAGTTTAGATGGATGGAGTAGTACCCTAGAGTGGTTACCCCACAAAATGTTGGTCTTCTACTCCGCTCATCTACATAAAATACTTATTTCATAAATTCCTTTTTTTATGTATCGAAATACAAAAAAAAATTTTCAGTCAATTGATTAACAGTAATGACAAACCTGTTCAGTAGATTCTTTAGAATTCGTGGCACCGGTCGCAACTGAAGAACATTAACGGAAAGTCTGTCTACTGGACATGTTGATTGTCTTAGTAGCCATTCAAGTATACAACCTTTGCAGAATGCGTGTTCGCATGCAGGTGCCTGAAAAAGTAAACAGTTGATAAAGCATTGCACAGTGATACATCAAAAATGAAAACTTCACTACTTTGAGTAAAGAGACATGAAGTGTTTGGTATTAATAATGTGAATAGTCGGATTATGCAAGTGTATAAATTTTACTTGGACTGGGTCCTGTAGTACTCCAGTACATATGGGGCAGAGAAGCTCTTCATCTACTTCGCCAACAAAACGGGTGATATCAAAACCCATAGCTGTACATGGAATTTAAGATTATCAACTTATCCAAAGCTAACTGTTTACTGTTTCGTTTTAGGGGTGTTCTACAAGACCCAAAAAACAAGAAACACCTTGAACAGAATGTCGTTGCTACATATTATAATATCATTGACCGATATCTAATACATTCATTATGTGTCTGTGAAGTTAGCTCCCGAACGATTATCACATATCAAAATTCTGATAAGGTAGGTAACCGCATTCCTGCATACTCTATTGCCTATTCATATCTTACAAGGAGTTTTAATAAAAATATTTATTTTTCAGATATAATTCGCATGATTCAAGATGGATGAAGAATAATTTTCATCAATGAGATTATTGTAGCGAGCTGTGACCATGTTAATTAGTAAATCACTCAGGTAGTTATAAATAAACAATGTAACTTCAAAGAACAAGAACTCTATATATATATATAATAGTTGAAGGAGGCCTACAAAGCGCCTATTTCTTATGATAAATTGCACGTGACCTCGAAACGTACTAAATTTATTAGAAAATTTGAAACTTAACTCTTGTTGTATAAAATGCAAATTTTCAATATAACTCCACATGATTGTCCCTTTATTTGAATTTATTTCTTTTATGTTCCCCAATGTGTTTCTAGCCAATTTCAACATATGACATGCGTCGGGTATAAAATAAACATTGTCATTTGTAATTGGGTGTTTAAAGCTACATTGAATATCATCATAGTTATTGACATCTAAATTACAACCTAATTTTTTCATAGTTGAAAAATTCGTAGCACAACCATCACATGTTATAGACCAAGCTTTTAAACCAGCTGCATGGGTTACAGAAAGAGCACATTTAATGAGTTCAGCCTAAGCTGTTGCTCCTGTTTTGTTTTGTAAAACATATTCTATAGGTATCTTCCATTTGCCATTACAACTTGTTAGCATGAAAACAAGAGCTTCGGTGGCAGTATTATTTGTACATTCGATATCTAAATTATTACCAAAATCACAATAACCTATAAACTGTTTGCTTTTTGGATCCCAAATAATTTGTTGTTTTATAGCCATTGCATCAATAATTAGGGTACAATGTTTGTCGAATGGTTTCAATTTTTCAAGTGCACTTAAAACGTCTTTAAAAAACCCGGGTTCTCCATTTATGGATGAAGTCCAATTCCTTATTGCTGATACATGTGGAAGAGCTAATATTGATCTAAAAATTATACTTATAGTTAGTAATATTAATACAATTCCAAGGGCGCCTATCAATCAGAACCTAGGAGGGTGACAATATCATAAAAAAATAACTAAGAACCAACTAAATAGATTTTATTAAAGAACAGAAAATAAATACACAACATATATAAATAATGTACCTGTGTAATATGGGCAAGCCCCCCTCCTAATTTGCACCTATGGGTTACATGTCACCTCCTTGCACCCTTTTATAGGCGCCCTTGTACAATTGTATTAAATTTTGTAAAATGTTTCTAAAATTGTATTCAAATCTTAGATGCATTCAAATACATATAAATAAAGCTGATTAAAATATTTATATTAATAAAATAGCTAATTAAAATATTTGTATTAATATAAAAACTAATTAAAATATTAATATTAATATAGCATCCAGTATTACAAAGCGTAAGCAGTTGGCTTGTTTTTTTAGAAATGATTGCATCTTACAATTTAAGTACAATTAAAAATATGTCAACCCATGTAGACACATTTTTGTGTACTTTTGTGAGAAATTTGTATATGAAAATTGCAATTTTACTAACTGGCAATATTGATAAGCTTTTGGTGAATAATAGTGCAATGTCAAAGCAAATTTTTTTATTTCAGGGCTGTAACGCTGACCTTTAGCATGCCTTTTACAATTTTTCAGCTGGTTCATAAAAATTTCTTGAGAAAGCCCTTCAAATTTACTACTTATAACTTCACCATCATTACTATTCAACAAACCTTTTTGTTGTAAAGATTTCAATAGTTGTAGTAAACTATTTATCTTTAATCGCTGATGCCTAACTCTCTGTTGTAACAGTTTCGGTTTTTTCTTCAGCTTGGTTTTAGTTGGTGTAGAATGAGTTATAGGCGATTTTGGAAAGTTCAATCTCCTAGCAGGTGTTACTTATGTAGAAGAGTGCTGAATACATTTTGAAGGTGTCATTAATAAAGGAGATATAGAGTGTGGTGTTTTAATGGGGGTTAAACTAACATTTGGTGGTGAAGTAGTGACAGATAAATCAATTGTAACTGATTCAATAAATTCCTGCGATTTCAAAATTGTAGGATTTAAATTAGGTGTAATTGTCATATTGGTACTTTGTAGTGGTGTTTTATGAATAGTTTCAATATTACACGTTTTTTTAGGAGGTTCCAAACTTCCAGACATAAGAAGTGAAGGAACTGATTCACCTTTTAACATTAATTTATAACTTCCTCCAGGTCTTGGAACAAAATCGGAGCTTAAAAAATTGTCACTACATACTCTACTAGAATTATTCGGATTAAATCCTTTACGCTTAACTGCATCAATCCATAATTGTAGTTTATAGGGATCTTTTAAAGGAAACCTACAATTCATTAAATATACAAATAATAATCAGATTCAGGTCTATTTTTTTCAGATAGAAAACTAAAAGTTCTCACTTAAAAAAATGTTTGGAACAACCACGTATCTGTCTATTTGTACACTTGTGCACTGAACATGAGACTGGCATAATGGCAAATAATAGTATTTATTATTTACAATCGGAAATTAAAAATAATTATGTTTTTTAAATGTACGCAACTTTATTCAACCACTAACCAGTCAAGTCGGTAACACAGTAACACACTAACAAAAGTCGCGAAGTGCAATACTTTATGGGCTACTGTAACGTCGCAAATCTCTGCGTCTGCATTGAGTATTCGAATTATTTCGAAATTCATAATATGGTGAATGATAATAAGTATAGCATTATCAGTATCCTCATGATAAGAATAAATGTAAACATTGCCTGCTTTTTTGTAAATGGCGGCCGACTTCAATATCGGTCACTACTATCTGCTATCTATAGTTGTTGTATATATCTATGGGCAAGGGACATCCGGCGTGTGCAGCGCGTGGCCGCCCACGGAGTGACCTTATGTGGTTAAGTAGCAGGGATACGATCCAAGGATCGCCATTATAAAATACGTCGCTCGAAACTCGAATAGGTTTCGGTAGACGGACCAACACCAACGACGAGCTGGGAGCTAGCTGGAGTATAACAGTCACATCTCGCTAGCTCCCAGTGCTCCCACTCTTTAATTTAGTCAATTTGGACTTATAAAATTTATTGTTTTTGTTATAATCAAATAAAAGTATTCAATTTATAAAGAAAAGAACAACTCTTCTTATTTATTTTACAACACCAACAAACAGACGTAGTCGGTTTGTTACAATTGGCGCCGTGGACAAGGTTTTGCAAAAAAAAAAACATTTGGATACGGAGTATTTTTGAATTATTTCAAAATATTCCAACCAAATCAATTCGAGGAGGAAATTCTATCAATTGAATCATCGTAGGAAGTCGGTGACGATCAACTTTCAACAACTCCGCAAAGAATCCTGTCAGCAACACATCGATTACGATCCAAAATCAAAATTAAATGGAGGTACCAACTACTCTTAAATCAAGTCTCAGCTGCGTTGGTGTAAGTAATAAATATAATTTCGAATTTTAAAAAAAAAAAAAATTGTTGTCCGTCTCCTATGGTATATTTTATGACCATAGTATATTTTAATAACACGCAATAATAAGTGGTAAAAAAAAATTATAAAATTTGAATACACATATTAAGTATTTATCTCTCAGTTCCGTTTTACAATTAAAAATTTGTTTTATCTCCCTCTGCGCTACCAGAAGTTCTTGGTCTCTCATAGGTCTGACCTCTTCATTTACTGGTAGATACAATGGTCGACCCTCTAGTTTTTGGATTTTAAAACGGTCCAGACTGTTTGATATCGCTCCCGATATTAGCACCATACTAGTTTTATTAATCGTGGAAAACTCAAAGTCCATTATAATGAACTTATGCGTGTCCTTTCTACAACATCATATATATTTAGCTCATTAAATATTTTAATCAAATACAATTTATAATAAAAAATCTTTTTACATGGTCATAATTCGTGGAAACTTACTTAAATTTGCCTTTCACCTATTACAGATGGTAGATTAGTATTTATTGATAACCTATCTGGAGTATCTGTTATTATTTCCCCACAAATAACACTTTTGCTAGCAATTTCTCCTTCATAGGGCACAGGTTTTACTATAAGTCTCTGTACCTCATATGATTGATCTGGCCTTAATTCTATGTTTTCACTTCTATAAAAAGTACTCATACTTTTAGGTTCACTTATATAATATTCTTTATTTTGTACTGGTCTTAATCTATTAGTATACATTCTTTTTAAATCCATATTACATTTATACATTACATATAAGATTAAAATTAGTATTAATGAAAATAACAATAGTCCTATTATAGCATAATATATTAAATAATTAATTAATAATTAATTAACATGTCCATTTTGTCTATCCAATTCATCTTCTACCATTAGTTGTATGTCGTCTAGAGAATGAGTTAATTCATGAACATTATCTAATTTTAATAAATCGTTCTTGTGTTTGTATTTAGGTATTTCCAAAGATGGTATGGCTTTAGGAATTTTCATCGTTAAGCTGCCTTCGCCTAACTTAGGTATACAATTTACATAAAATTTTGATTTTATTTTTCTAGTTGGATTTAAAACTATATCATTGGCATAAGCTCTGCAATCCTGATTTATATATATTAGTCCCTGATTTTGGATTTTTAGGATATATGGTTCTGTTTCCCGTTGACATGTTATCATTAATGTGTCATTAATAGTTGTGTATAACCAAGTGTTTGAATATTTTAATTTATGATATATATTTTTAGTGATTATTATCACTCCTGCTTCACAATTATTTGGTAAAATTCTGGATTTTTAAATAATGATACTTCACATGGTTGCCTAACCGATTCATATTGTATTGGTTGAAATTCTGGGCATATGTTAAATAATTCTGTTTCAGTACAACTTAACAATTGTGTTTCTGTAAAAGTAGTAAATTGTCGTCTATTTATTGTTATTCCTACATATTGAAATTCAGGTTTTAAAACTATACTGTGATTTTTATTAAATCGATGTGGTATTGGTAAGATTTTATACAAGGTTAGTTCAAGTTCTGTTACTAATGGAATTTGTATTAAAAATACTATTTGATTTTCACTATAATACACTGCCATCTTAGTTATCTTACTTAATTCGTAAATTTCGCTAGGTTGTGTTCCCATGGGTAAATTGAAGTTGATGGGTAAATTAAATTTAATTTGTGTTAATTGTTTTGCTAACTCCCTAGGAGTTACTAAACTTGGATGTAGAATTCCTGTTCTTGCCGAAGTTATTATTGCACTTTTAGTTGTTGTCTCATAAGAAAATTGTGTTAGTAAAGCAGTAAAAATACTATGTATTCGATTACTCAAAACTAAAGTTTCTACAGTATGTGTATGGTTAGCTGCTTCATTTAATTTTTTATACAGCATACCTTGCTTTTCACCTAATTCAATATATAATTTATTCATTTCTATAGAGGCACTACCTATTCCTTGTACTGCTGATTTTACTACAGTGGTTTGATTCTTTAATATATGTAACATATTAACATTACTATTTTCGATTTTCTGAATATTCTTACTATTTTCTCTTGTACAGTCATCATCACATACACCAAATAAAGTTTTCATAGCTGTTCCTATTATATTTACTAGACCTCTTTTATTCCTAATGACTACAGTGTTTCCTTCCTTCATACTCTCATTTGTACTATTATACCTACCAATGGACTCATACATTTGCTCCCTTTTTGCAGCTATTTCTACAAACGTTGATTTTAATATATTTGAAAACCTTGAACATATCTCATATTCAGATAATAAATCCTTACAATGACTTGTCATATTTAAAATTTCATTCGCTAACTGATTATACCTATTATTATAATTTACTAATGGCATATAATTGACAAGTTTCCAATATGCTCCTACAATTCGCAGATCTCCTTGATTTTCGAAAAATATTGTTGTTTTGTTTTTAAATTCTTCATTAGTAAACGGTTGTTGTCCCACAGCACCAATTGTAGTTATACATAATAACCTATACAAAGATATATGATAGGAAAATTATTCATACTGTTAAATACACTAATTAAGCGGATAAAGGCGATGAACTTAACAAATCAACGTTCGGTTATTAACTGACTTTTATTATATAGATCACAGTGGTTGGGACCGTCTCAGGTCTATCAGTGTGTCCAACCTTCAATATTAATTATCTTTGCTTACATCATTTCTTAACTAAATCTTAATTTTTAACATTCGGCCGTCCCGGCCCAACATAACACATAATGCAAGCATAATTATAAACATAATAAACAAAACATAATTATTATAAATATCATTAAACATCATAGTATTATAAATATACAAGTAGATAAAAGAAAATCAACAGAGTAACAGAACATACATAGGTAATTTTAGAAACATTAATTAGTATAATCTTTTAAGTAGGTAGGTCTCTTAATCTTGCGAATGGAGGTTCTTTGACTAGTCTTTGTGTCTGCTGCAGATGATACCAAAGAAACAGATCTCACTGGATCAGCCATCGTTTTGGGTACTGCTTGCTTTTCCGAACCGTCACTGTACTGTCCCTCTTGGTCGGATTGTTCTGATTCACTGCCTTCTCCTTGATCCGTAGCGAAGCGCTTCAAAGCACTAATGTGTGCTGTAGTAGCATATAATTGTTTTCCTTCATGATGTAGATCTGCAATTTTATAAGTATCGCCAGCACATACAGCAGTCACTATCATTGGTCCTCGGTACTTGGGCTGCAACTTAGTTGAAGTACCGGTGGAGACCGGGGGTCGTCGTAGATAGACAATTTCCCCTATACATAAAGTTTGGTTTTTACGGTGTTTGTCATGCCGTTCCTTCCACTGGGTTTGCTTTTCTGCTATGTCTTTACGTATTTGTTGCTGGACTTCTGCTGGTTTTTGATATACTGGAGTTAGTGTAGTGAGTGTATCTAGTAGACCATCTCGAATCACTGCATCGAATCCGTATAATGCATAGAAAGGACTAACTCCAATAGTTTGATTTATTGAAGTGTTCAGCATCAACTCTAGTTCAGCCAGATGTTTATCCCAAGTTGCTTCGGTCATCATGCTAGTTGATATTGCTGATAGCACAGTGGAGTTAGCTCGCTCTACTTGCCCATTTGCACGTGGATGTCGTACAGCTACTGGGTGGTGCTGGATCCCGTTAGCCTTGCAGTACTGCCAGAAGTGTTCTGATTGGAATGATGTTCCTCTATCCGTAATGATCCTTTTGGGTAATCCATAGTTTAGAGCAAAATCTTTCAGTTGTTTTACAACTACTGTGGATTGTACTTTAGTACTTTTTGGGAATGGTCCCAAATGGTCAATATTTACTGTCTCGAACGGACGTTCCCCTGGATTGATTGGGTGCAGCATACCAGCTTGTCTCCCCCTTGCCCTTTTGTATAGGGCACACTCAGGACACATTCCTATGTGCACTCTGAGGTACCTCCGCATCCGTGGAAAGTAATATCGTTCTGTAATTTTGGCATACGTTCTGTCGACTGCAAAGTGACCACTGAGGTCATGGAACTTGATCGCTAAGCCTTTTCTCATACATTTAGGCACCATCCAGAGTCGCCGTGGTCCAGCTGCAGTCTGTACTCGCCTATACAACACTCCGTTTATTACATCATAATTATTAAGTAATAACTTACTCGGTGTAGCTCCCTCTAGTGATTTCATT